GGTTTGTACGAGTGGACGGTCATGCCATTCGGATTGTCTAATGCTCCCAGCACTTTCATGCGCCTTATGAACTAGGTATTTCGACTCTTCATTGGGAAATTTGTTGTGGTTTACTTTGATGATATCCTGGTATATAGCAAGAATGAACAGGAGCACCTAGACCATCTCTGGCAAGTTTTTGAAGTCCTTAAAGAGTAGAAACTTTATGCTAATCTCAAGAAATGTTCATTCCTCACTACAAGTGTGACATTTCTTGGATACATCATCACTGCTCAAGGTATCAAGATGGACCCCAGTAAGATTGATGCTATTGTCAACTGGCCTACACCAACATTGATGCATGATGATCAAAGCTTCCATGGCCTGGCATCTTTTTACCAGAGATTTATCAAGAATTTTAGTTCTATTGTTGCCCCAATCACCGATAGCCTTAAGGGTGACAAATTTTCATGGAGTGGCAAAGCCCAACAGAGTTTTGAAGAATTAAAGAGGAAGCTCACTGAAACCTTTGTACTTGCACTTCCCAACTTTGACTTGATGTTTGAAGTAGATTGTGATGCTTCTAATGTTGGAATTGGTGTAGTGTTAAGTCAAGAAGGTCGATCCATTGCCTTCTTTAGTGAAAAGTTGAATGACACAAAGCTCAGATATTCCACCTATGACAAAGAATTCTATGCAATTGTTCCAACCTTAGAGCATTGGAGTCATTATCTTCTTTCAAAAGAATTCATCTTGCACTCTGACCATGAGGCATTGAAGCACTTGAATTCTCAACAGAAGATCAGTCGTCAACATGCTGCTTGGAGTGAATTTCTACAAGCTTATCCTTTCCTCCTCAAATACAAATCTGGAGTCCAGAATCGTGTAGTTGATGCTCTGAGTCGCCGACATGCCTTGCTTACTTCCTTACAGATGAAAGTTGCTAGATTTGAAGTGATCAAGGAGTTGTATGAGGATGATCCTGATTTTAGCAACATTTGGCAAGCCACTTCTAATCAATCCTTTCAGTAATATCATCATCAGCAAGATTACCTCTTCAAGGGTAACCGACTATGTGTTCCATGTTGCTCACTTCGAGATTCAATTATCTGAGAAGCACATAATGGTGGATTAGCTGGTCATTTTGAGAGAGACAAGACTTTAGCTCTTGTTAAAGAAAGTTTTTACTGGCCAAAGTTGGAGCAGAATGTCATTCGTCACATTCAAAGATGCAAAGTTTGTCACCAAGCCAAGACAATCATCATAACACAGGGTTGTATTTGCCATTGCCTATCCCAACATCACCTTGGGAAGATGTTAGTATGGATTTTGTCCTTGGTCTACCACGAACTCAACGAAGCAAAGATTCTATCATGGTCGTGGTTGACAGATTTTCTAACATGGCTCACTTTATTGCTTGTCAAAAAACTAATGATGCTTCTCTCATTGTTGAGTTATATTTTAGAGAGATTGTGCGTGTACATGGAGTTCCAAAGACCATCACTTCAGATAGAGATGTGCAGTTCATGAGTCATTTTTGGAGGACTTTATGGAGAAAGATGGGCACTCAACTCCATTCTAGTTCTACTAGCCATCCCCAAACCGATAGGCAAACTAAAGCTATCAATAAGATTTTGGAGAATATACTACGAAGTTTTGTGGGAAAAAAATTACGACAATGGGATCTTGTGCTTGCCCAAGCTGAGTTTGCCTACAACAACTCTTCGAATCAAGTTACGGGAAAATGCCCATTTGAAGTAGTATATGGAGTGCGTCCTCTCAGTCCTTTAAATCTTGCTCCATTGCCCACATCCCGACAATTTAGTGCAGATGCTAAACAACAAGCTAAGGAGATCAAGAAACTTCATGAAGAAGTTCGTGAGAAGCTACAACGTCAAACCATTAAGTATAAGGCTCATCATGACAAGCATGAAAGAAGGTTGTGTATAAAGAAGGAGATTGGGTTTGGATACACCTTCGAAAGGAAAGGTTTCCTAATCGACCTAATATCAAACTCTCCCCTAGAGCAGATGGTCCTTTTTAGATAGTGGAGAAAATCAATGATAATGCCTACAAAATCAAACTTCCAGGTGACTACGGAGTCTCTGCTACTTTCAATGTAGTTGACCTATCTCCTTACTATGAGGATCATGAGCATTGAACTCAAACTTGAGGATGAGTTTTCTCCAACCAAGGGAGAATGCACCGGGGGAAAGCACCACGAAAGCACCACGACAATGCACCACGACAATGCACCAGGACAATGCACCAGGATTGCAAGTCAGCAAATTTCAGACTACACTCTGCAGACTACAAATAGGCCGGTGCAATTTTGTCAAAAGTGACCACTAAATTCCACAAAGATGGCTAACTCCCAACTATATTTTCATTTTTCATTTATTGCCTTATGTTAGATTTTGCCTATAAATAACTATGTTCCCTTCGTTGTATGCATAAGTTTTAATCCAAAATTTCAGTTTATATTTCTCCTTTGTTGAGTAAGTTTTTTGAGAGTAGATTCTCTCAATTTATTTATGTATTTTAGGTCTTACCAACCTAAGTGGTGAACCTAACAATCAAATTCATCGTAGTGGAATTCTAAATTTCGCCAAAATCGGTGTTTCGATATCGGCTCCTACGCCATTAACTCTCAAGGGTTTGCTTTGGATTGGGCGTGAGGTTTTACAATGCACTTCTAGAAGCACTTTGGTGGCGGTAAGAAGGAAATTGCCGCAACTTAGTGCCAAATGGAGCGACAAGGCGTGGGCTTAAGGGCTTTTCCCTGAACTTTTCCAAAAAAGACAAGCTTGTATGGTTTGTGGATTGTCTATATACAATAATTTCGATTTGGCTCAATGATATGCACACAGCAATCAGGATTTCCCTCAAATGGCTACTGTTGTTGTAGTGTAGGTTAAAATCACTATTACCTGCTGTTTTTGAATTGAAGGGAAGCCTAACTTTTACATGCAAAATAGTTAAATCCTCATTATAAGAAAACTATGTCCTTGTTGTGAAACTAAAATACCTGTTGTATTGCGTGCTATCATGACTCTTCTTATTGATGACCCTTTTGCTGATTTGCTCCCTCTTGTCCTTGTCGCACACCCTGCACCTTGAATAAGTGTTCTTAAATATTGTTGAATTTTGAGGCTCTTTTAAACACTTATCCTTATCTCTGGACATACCTATATATGTCTTTTTGCACAGGTGTGGATATTTAAATGGATGACTTGCTTCTGACAAAATCGAGTTTGCATCTGTTTGATTAATCGGATGATTGAGTAAGAATGAATCTTGGGTGGTGCTGAACATGCTTAGGCATAGTCAAACTAAGTCCATAGGGCCCTTAAATACCATTCATTGGTCTGAATGACATTATAAACATGAGACTAAGGGACTTGTCTAGTGTTTTATACCAGCACTTATCTTTAATATGGGTTTGGAGCGTCGAATCTACTATGATGAATTTGCAATTTGTATAAATGCATTGAAATGAAGAGTGTTTCTGCTTTACTGTTTGACCTCTCTCTGTATTGCTGGTTTCGATTGTCATAGTCTTGTCAATTGAAATTAGTAATTCTTCACTTTTCTTTTTGCTAATGCAATGAACTTTCTCTTGTTCAGATGGTGCCACATGGAAAAAAGTTCAACCACACACAACATTCCATTTTGCAAAGGCTGCATATACATTCCTGCAGGATAATGCGTTAGCACCATTTAGTTTCCAGGGTGGAACAAGGGCCGAATTGTCTGTCAGCAGTCTCAGCTCAAGTGAATCCTGTCCTGCTCTGGTTCATCGTCTGATGGTTCACCGAAGGATTATATAATTGCTTTAATTAACTCTCTGCTTTCTTCAATGGGAACACAACCATCTGTAAGTAACATTCAGTACAGCCAACATGGCGATGTAAATTCTGAAACAAAAATGAGGCCAAATACAGAGCTCATTGCCAGCACAGAGTAAAAAGAAATACAGATCCGTTGACCAGTTTTTCAATGCTTGAAAAATCTCTCCTTTTTTTCATACAAAGAAAGCTAAGGATGGATGATTGATTTGCTTGTATCTTGTGATCTTTGAATGGATTGATGAAGAATTGAAGATCAACTTTCTCCCTTTGCGGAGACAAGATATAAGCTCGGAAAATACAAGGAAACAGCTGATGCATATTCTAGTGGTGGCAAATGTGGGATGGCCACCGCTGCAAACTGCTTTATTATGAAGTAATACATTTGAGTTTCTGAATTCATCGATCAGCAGAGCAGGTTTGATATCATTTATTCCCTTTTTAGATTTTACTTAACTGTATATTATATTTTTCATTCTCTCAAATTATGCTTTCAACTGTAGTTGGGAATAGATTTGGTTTAGCATTGATATATTTAAGAACCAATGAACTGTGGGTATAATCTAAATGACTGCAAATTGAAGGGACTAAAAGGATGCAAATGTGACTAGATTTACATATGAATGAACAAGGAAATGGCTCTGGCCAGAAAAAGGAGAGCAAGAAAATGGCAGTGAAGCCAATTAAAAGTCCAAAATAATGCTTGGAACATTGGATATGCCTTCTCAACAATAATTTTATTGGACCATGTGTAGGTGACGTCACAACTGTTTGACGACACCACAAAAAGGAAAAAAATTGTATGGAATGTAAATGGTGCAAATCCAATTCAAAGATATCTAGTCAATGGAAAGTGGAGTGGAGAAAGCATTGATCACAGTAAGCTAAAGGCTAATTATATTTACCCAGATAAATGATGCTCTAGAATGATCGTGGTGCACTTTTACTTACCCAAAATAGGAATGTAAACCTTAGTTGGAGAAGATGGAGAATCTCTATACATGGTAAAAAGAATCTTAATCACTAATACTTTATAGGCTTTCAGTGTTCATCATTTAGAGGTTCATTACTTGTTTTTTAATCAATTGATAAAACTAATTTAGATCCACATGATATGGTGGAGAAAGAAAGAAAGAAGGAAGATGATTTGATTTTAAAATAAATTATTTCTTTAATAGAGGACATGACTGCTAATACTGTTGTCGAGCAATAAAGTTTATATTAAAATGCAATTGATGAAAATCAAATTAGACATGATATTTACTGTGCTTGGTAGGTGTGGATATGCTTGAGGAATTGTTTGTTGTGATTACAATTGCAGGGAAGTTGAACCATCTGTTTTAGCATCTGAAATCAAGAAGGCATATTGGAAAGCTGGCCTTAGACATCATCCTGACAAGTTTCTATACATCCACTGCTTAATGCACGTATTTAAAACTTTATCTTTCTAAAAGGTTTACTTCTTTTATAGGCGGTTCAATCTTTGGGTAGAATAGAAGTGAGAATGAAGATTATAGGCTCTGGGAGCAGATAAGAGAAGATGCATACAAGGAAGCTGACAGATTGTTTAAAGTGATATGGAGAGACATGCAGTGCTTTCAGACCCTACCAAGGTGATCATTATTCTTATGCAATGTTGTCATTCAAACTTTTTCATACAAGCACTTTTTACTTACATTCACACACACACACACACACACACACATATATGCATATGCATTCTATGGCCTTGCATCTCAAAAGCAAGTGAAAGAATCCAAGGTTTCTTATGTATAAGGTCATATGAAGCAGAAAATTCCTCATTTTGATAGATGCAGGAATTTTATACTAAGAATATTTTAGAGTGTTTTTCCTAATGGGGCAACGAACTAGGGAATGTAAAATAGGGTTGCTTGTTATAAAACAGATAATAATGGCAATGCTTCTTTAGGTTGATGTATACTAATTTGATGGAAAATGCATTTCATTATTAAATGGTCAGTATCAAATTCTATTCATCTGAACATGCTAAAGCTGAACCAACAATATGATGTTATAAAGGGAACTTTGTGCAAGTATCATAAACCATAAAAATTAAATGTTTCTTATGTGTCTTTCTGCAGTGCACATGATATGATCTTGTAGAAGTAATATGGAATGCAAAGAAAAAACACACTGGAACCTCATCTAGAGTACCTACAGATGCTCACAGTTTTTCAATTGATAGGACTGAGACTAGACATCCATGGAGGTATGGAGATCATATGGCCACTCATCCACCAAAGGATCAGAAACCAGCTGATCAGGCAGATATTTTTTCGAGAATAAAGATGGTTGTGTGCATCTTGTTTGAAGATAATTTTTCTTGACAACTTAACGGAATCCACGTCTAGCAAAAGATGGATTAGTTCACCTGGCTAGATCTTAAAAGACAGACTTGGTTTACAGCCCTGGCTGATGGGAACTTAATCCATGAATTCTCCAGTGGTGGGAGTCAAAACAGGTGGATGTCATATCTGATACTCAAAAGTTTTAGTGAAAATTGCAGTTAATGCTGGACCTAAAGTGATTTTTAGATTTTTCGTTTTTAGCTCATTCCGCCACCCCCCCCTTCCACCCCTCCCCTCCCCCACAATCTAACAGAGTAAAGTCTTTAAACAATGTGTCTAGATGTTGTTAACACCCCTCCCCTCCTCCCCAATCTACCAGAGTAAAGTCTTTAAACAATGTGTATAGATGTTGTTAACGTTACTACCAGAAAGCTTAAATAGCTTAGCAATTTTCTGCTTTCAGCTAATAGAATTTTGGAAGAGTGGTATTTTTCTTCATTATGGGTACCTCTTATACAACTACTTGTTCAGAAAATTTTAAGAGAACGGTTTTTTCAGTTGGGTCTGCACAAAAGAAGTGCAATTTCAATTAATGAAATATTAAAATACCTTTAATGAGTCTTATTCAATAACAGTAGCTCGAACTGTTGCAGTCCGGGACTAAAAAAGATATTTCTTAAATTTTTTAGAAACTAAAATATTGCTTGTGCAAACAATAATAAAGAGATAAGAGAGAAGAACAAATATAGACACGAAATATTTAAAGAGATCAGTTCTTCAATTACTATATATGTCAAGCATAAGATTTACAACTGGATCATTGTAGTTCTTCAATTCTTTCCCTTTTTTTGTACATGGATAATATCAATTAATCTTCAATAGGATCACAAATAAGCGAATCAATCCAACTGCCTATATCTTCTTCTGAATTACAGACAACTCCAGCCAATACTAGTTCATAGTTCTCCTCCTGTTGCTGTTGGGACTCTTGTTCAACTTCAAGGAGCTGTGATTCCTGTGGTTGCTGAACCCTAGGCCCACTACTCTTGACTCGCTTTGAAGCAGTTGGTTGCAACGGATCAGGTCCTCCGCTGCAATGCAACGCCTGTGGTGGCAATTGCATTGGATCAGGTCCTCCACTGCAATGCAACGCCTGTGGTGTTGGTGGTAGTTGCAATGGATCAGGTCCTCCGCTGCACTCTGACGTTTCAGGTGGTGTTTGTAGCAGATCAGGTCCTCCGCTGCATTGCGACGACGTCTGTGGTGATGATGAGAAGGATAAAGGGATCTTACCGTTGTAATGAATACGGCAAAGAACCCACTGTCGGACTTTGTTTAATTCCAGCATGTATTCGTGCATGATCCAGTCCGTTTTTATCCCACCTTCCTTCCGATTCTTCCAATTTCCGGCCTTCCGCTTCTTGGTTTCGTCTTTGAGGAAGAAAGTGAGAGACTTGACGTAACCCAGTACCTTTCCTCCTTCATCGTAGATGGGCTTGTCGTCGGTGTTGGAGTTCCACCAGCCTTGTTCGGAATCAATGGTGCGCTTGGGCCTGGTCCCCGTATCCTTTCCAGAGAAGGGTTTTCTTTGGACAAAGAAATAACGCTCGTCGCCATGAAAGAGGACGTTATCGACCGGATCCCAGGGAAGAAACCAGGGTTCGTGCTTGTAAATATCAGTGGTCATAATCAAGCGATTATCATAACTCGGAGTGAGAATCTTGGTTTGGAGGCAATGCAACAGTTCGATGTCCGTGGGAACAAACCGGAAGCCAACATCGTAGCATGAAGATGAAGGGTTTGGAAGCCCAAAACCTGACGTTGACGGCAAGGACTGCTCCATCATCGGAAGTAAAGAAAAGGGGAAGAAATCAAGATGAAGAGAAGAGAGTAGGACTGAGCTCCAGTCTGTACCTCTTTCTATATATAGACAGTTAGGCCTTGAGGGACAGAAAAGGGATTTTCTTACTATTTTAGCTGTTGCAGACTGTATGAAGAAAAACGCGTCTATTAACGGTCGGTCAAATAATATTTCATTTTTGATTTTCCTACCCAAACACTCTTGCTTTACAAGGAAGAAAAGAGATCGACAACAGCTTTCCCCCTATCTTCTTTCATCTCCCTGAACAAATTCCACTTGCTTTTTTGTTTTCCTCATCCACAGATTCCTGATCTTTGTGTTTCTTGAGTCGTGAAATGGAAAGCCATGGCCACTGTTAATGGGGGTCCTGGGGAAATACACCGATGGCCTCTTCAGTGGCTGGCGCGGGATCCAAGAAGCACGTTCTTGCAGCCAAGAGTTTTGATTCTGAGGCTGTTCTTGAAAGGTTTTTTTTGTGTTGTCTTTATTTTGAATTAATGTGTGTTTTAGATTTGGGTTTTGGATTTTAGATTCTTATATGTTTATTTTCACAATTTTTTCCTGTGGTTAAGATTTATAAATACAATGTTTGGATTTTTGAGGACGGGGTCTTTCTTTGTCTGGATCAATGGATAATTTTTTGTAATGGGTCCTTTTGTTTCTGGGTGCACGAGGTTTGATTGATCTGAAAAATTGGTGCTTTCATGTTATCCCAATCATTGTCCTCAATCCTCATAGCTTGATTTAATTTCTCCTTTTTCCCTTAATTGTTGATAGTTTTAAGGGTTTCTGATCCTTTTTCTTTGATATTTGCAGGCTGCATTGATGGCTTTAATGGTAAGAACAGAAATCATTCCTCTCTAAGCCTCTTTTAGATGCTAAGAATCTATGGAAGTAGATAGGGCTATGGGAAACATGCTTTGGTTTGCAGAATATATACCCTCTCATGATATTTTGGAAGATAATGTTGTCTCTGATCATGTTCAAGTGGTGATTTCTGGTGGTAAAGTTGAGCAGAGGCCACGTTGCTTGCTTAAATTTTGTGATATGTGGACTTTACACCTGTTATTTCCAATCTATT